GTAGCAGAAAAATGGCTGCGTCCCTACTTTGCTAGGGTTTTTGGACACGAAGCAGAGGTCGAATGGGCTCAATCCAAGGTCCAAGTCCAAGCCTGCAACACTATATGGGTCGTGGAAGGTCGAATCGCGTCGAAAGGGGTCGGGACAGGCTGGTAGATCGCACTCAAAACGGCTACTTCGCAAGCATGTGCTGGAAAAGTTTGCACTGCCGGTCCGCCTGACCAGGAATTTGGTCCGCCGGACCGGATGACCAAAACCAAATTTTTGGTCCGTCGATGTCCGTTTCGGTCCGAAGGTGTTCTGGTCCGGCTGACCACATTTGGTCAGCTCCGGACCAGACCCAATTTTTCTTCCTCTTAGTCCGTTCCTTTGGTCCGACGTGGTATTTTCTCTCGGACTGACTTCTGATCCGACGGACTGACTTCTGGTCAGCCCCGGACCAATCTCCCATTTTCTTCTTTCGCTCCGCCTCTTCTTTCCTCTGTTCCGTCTGACGGCTGAGTAGGTTGGTCCGACCCTGACCAGATTTTGGTCAGGCGGACCAACTTCACTTTCCAAAATTTTCTATCTTTTTCCGATCAGTTCCTCCTCGTCTTGGTCCGACGATCCGACCCTGGTCCGACTCACCAGTTTCTGGTGAGGCCCGAACTGAAGATAATTTTCAACATTCTTCGCCGCTTATTTTTCGATCCTTTTTTTTTTACATTTCCGGCTTTGCACTCTTTTTCCATTTTATTATTATTATTATTATTATTTTCACTTCCATTCTCGAATTATTATATGCATTTAATTAATTATTTATTCTCGAAAATAATTAAATATTTATTTTGGGATCCGGGGTATTACACCACTCACCTTGTTCTTGAGTTGGTCCGAGCTTGGGTGAGCTCCTCGTGGCTCCACACGGCGGGAGAAGCTCCGGGACACGTCTGGGCACGCCCCTCTTGGTCTCACCGAGCTCCCCTTGCCTCGATTCGTCTCTCCTCTCCCTCTTTCTCTCGGTTTCTCTTCTTCACCTCTTTGCTCCCGAGATGGTTTTGGGAGGACTTTGGGAGCTCGGAATCGAGTGGAAGAGAGGGCGATTTCGTTTCCTGCAAGGCTCATGGGCGAGCCTGCAGCCTTATCAAGGCGTGGGAGGCGGCAGGACGACAGTCAACTCGCGGACTCAGGCGAAACTCGCGTCCCAAGACTGCAAGATGGCGAGCTGGAGATTCTGTCGAGTCCCGGTCCGGCCGACCAGGAGTTGGTCCGGCGGACCGGGCTCAGTTTATTTTTTTTTTTCGATTTTCTTCTCCCAGTCCGCCTGTCCAGCCCGAGTCCGGCGGAGTCATGGTCCGCCCCTGACCAGGCCTGGCTTTCTTTTTCCTCTTTTTTTTTTCTCTCTTCGTTCCTTCCCGATCCTTCCCGCGTGTGTCGATCCTCGTGCCTCTCCTCGGCATTGTATTCTTTATTTTTGGTGATTTCATGACATTTCTATTTAATTATTTATTTTTAAATAATTAAATATTAAATCGGGATTCGGGGTATTACAGGGGCTGACCAAGACCACTCAGACGGACTGGGCTTGGTGGACGGACCAAGAGGAAGAAAAGAAAGAATGTGGACTTGGTCAGCCGGACCAAGGTTGGTCAGGGGCTGACCAGGACCACTCAGACGGACCAAACGAGCACGGACGGACCAAAAGGATGCGGGAAGTGAGTTGGGCAGTCCCGGTCCGGCGGACCAGAATCTTGGTCAGGCGGACCGGAAAAAAACAGCCTTCCCCACATGTGTCGGCAGCAACTTTGACCCGATTTTTCCGCAACCAAATGAGCCCCACGCGTGGAAAACTCGACGAGTCGCCATTCCTAGGAGTCCCACCTATCCCTTAGAGTTGTCTCCTTGCTCTGAAGCTTCCCCGTCGCCCACAAACACCTCCCTCAACCCCCACACAGAGCCATTTCGGACAAAACAGAGGAGAGAGGAGAAATTGAGAGAAAGGGAGAGAAAAGAGAAGAAAGGGAGAGAAAGGAGCTCGGGGAGACCAAGAGGGACGTGCCCAGACGTGACTTGGAGCTTCTCACGTCGTGTGGAGCCACAGGGAGCTCACCAAAACTCGGGCAAAGCTCACCAAAGCTCAAGAACAAGGTGAGTGGCTTGAGTTGCTTCTGTGTACTCTCGTTTTCATCGTGTGACCGTGATATCTCAATGATTGGTTGCTTGAGATTGATAGAGGACATTTCAATGTGAATTTAGAAACAAACGGTACTCAATTTGGTTGAGAAATGAAGGAGATATGAGCGAATGAAAACTGAGAAAAAACTGGAAATTGCAGAGTCGCTATTTTGTGACGTACAGGGGTTACGAACCATTTTTCAACTTATAGGAGAAATACTAAAACAATCTACTGCCTGGATATTAAAGAGGACATCCTAATGAACATTTAGAAACAAACGGTGCGTAATTTGGATAAGAAATGAGGGAGATATGAACGATCGAAGTCGGACCAAAACCTGAAAAACGCGAACGAGTGAACTGCCCAGTTCCGGTCCGCCGGACCAGGAACTGGTCAGCTCCGGACCAACCCAGGAAACCTGTTTAGTCCGCCAGACTGAGGAGAAGAAGCTGAGGAAGCTTGATCCGACCCGGACCAGAACCTGGTCCGGCGGACCAAGCCTGTTTTTGACCAAAAATGGTCCGGATGACCAACGAAGCAGGAAACGGACCAAGTGAGCTGGTCCGGGACTGACCAAAAGTCAGTCCGCCGGACCAGATGTGCCCAGAAGCCAAAATCACCGACGGACCAAGGAGAAATGGGGCGAACCAAAAACGAGAACTGGTCCGGGGCTGACCAAACGTCAGTCCGCCGGACCAGACCTGGAAAAAGAAAATTTTCACGTTGAACCGAGGAAACGGGCCGAGAACGAATGACATGTCTTGGTCGGTACCTGATCAGCAGTGATCAGGGGCGGACCAGACCTATCTCATAACAAACCAACGGACCAAGGAAGCTGAACGGACCATAAGAGAAGGGACTGTGGTCCGGGTCTGACCAGGATTTGGTCTGTCGGACCAGGCTCGGAGGAAAGAGGAAAATTTCCATTTCGACCGGGAAATATGAAACGACCAACGGGGTTGGCCCGGGCCTAACTAGACTTGACCACGGATGGGCCAAACCCTCACCAAAGGACAAAGCGTTGCGATTGGGATCAATCGAACCGAGTTTTCGTTAGGACGTTGCGTGACGTAGTGAGATGTGCGACATCAAAATATGAGTGATCATTGAGTGACTATTTGTGGGTAGAATTGCATGGCGTGGAACGATAACCCGGTAGGGACCGGATACCGTGATACGTATGATTGTACTATGGGAATATTGCACGTTGTGTGCCATGTGTGTAGCTTGCTCGTGCGTACGAGTTAAGCGTGATTGTGTTTGTGGATGGTTGTGGACTCAACCATCAACGTCATGGACTTGACGGGCGTTTGAGACGCGTTTTAGTCGTGTGCGACACGACGGCCAACGTCATGGACTTGACGGGCGTGGATGCGCTCCTAGTCATGGACTTGACTAGGGTATATGGCTAAACCCTATGGTGGACTCCATACGGGTGTGATTATGAATGATGTGATATAATTATGTGTTGTTATTACTTGTGTGTTTCTTGTATGCCATTGTTTTATCACCGTTCTCGCTGGGAACGGGATGACCGGGATCAACCCGGGCTACTCACTAAGCAGTTGTGCTTAGCCCTCGTGGTTATATGTTTTTACAGATCACGAGGATTACGCGTAGCGTACCAGACGACGACGATGCGAGAGAGGCAGCATCATGTACGGGATTTGTATTTTGGACGATGGGACTTGTATTTCCGCATTTTGTACGGTTTAATTATGACTATTCGGACATGTGTTGTTTTGCGATACTGATCGCGTTGTATTCCCGCTGCTTACTCTGATTTGATTTAAAATGATTTTGGATTTCGTGATTTTGCTTCCGCAATTTATTATTTTATTGTATATCGTCCATGTGGCACAGCCCGTATACTGTACACGGGTTACGGGTGTCACAACTTTTGGTATCAGAGCAACGTTCGTTCCATGGGAAAGAACGACTCATTACCTTATGGTTTTACAATGAAAAATGTTTTCCTGATGCGAGCTGGAGTCGTCGAAGGCTTAGTAAATTTAACATGGCGCAGCTAGAGTTATATGCTTAAATAGAGATCAACAATTTCCAAAAATTAAGTCCAATGTCTATACTAAGGGATTGGAATTAGGGAACTAATTCCAAAATCCCTAAGAAGCCCTATAGCAGTACCTAAAGGAACCTATGCCAATCCACCCCGAGTGGGAGGTTTAAGACAAAGGGGGAGGACTTATCTCGCTCGCCAACTATATTGACATTAGCAGAGGACCCCCTTAAGTTCAATACGAAGGACCGAAAAGAAGAAAATCAAGAAGAGCAACCGGGCATTCCTTGTTACCCGAAGCATAGATTGGAGGACACACCGGTTACCCGAGACTTTCTAATGCTTTTCCCTAATGACTTGTCAGAATTTCTGTCAAGGGGGAGAAATGGATTTCGCAACTGATATACTACCGGGTACAGAGTCAATCACCAAGGCTCTATACCGGGTAACACCGGTTGAGATGATCGAATTGAAGGAGTAGTTGAACGAATAAATGAAAAAGGTCTATACGCCCAACGGTTCACCGAGGGGAACGCCAGTGCTCTTCGTGAAGAAAAAGGATCGGAGTATGCATTTGTACATCGATTACCGAGGGCTCAACCAAGTGACTATCAAGAATCAGTATCCGTTACCGAGGATTGACGAGTTGCTGGACCAGCTACAGAGAGTCCAATGGTATTCGAATATCGATCTACGATCCGGATATCCCCAAATTCGGATCAAGGAGGATGACATACATAAGACGACATTCGGAACTAGATATGGACACTTCGAGTTCGTGATCATGCCTTTCGGATTCACGAACGCGTCTGGGTGTTCATGTAACTGATGAACCGAGTGTTCATAGACTATCTGGATGCGTTTGTCCTCTTTTTCATCGATGACCTCCTCATCTACTCGCCAGATCCGCAGACACATGAGGAGCATCTGCGAAAGATATTGCCGAGACTAAGGGAGAACCGATTGTATGCAAAGTTCAGTAATTGCAGCTTTTGGTTACAGGAGATTGGATTCCTGGGACATGTGGTATCGGCCCAGGGCATTCAAGTCGATCCGACAAAGATCGAGGCCGGCATGGAGTGGCAGTCCCCGACTTCTGCGACGGAAGTCAAGAGCTTCTTGGGACAAGCCGGCTATTACCGACGATTCGTCGAGGGATTCGCCAAAATCGCTCGACCCTTGACGAATTTGACAGGAAAGAACGTTAGGTTCGAGTGGACGGCAGACTGCGAAGAGAGCTTCAGAGAGCTAAAGCGGAAATTGACATCAGCACCGATCCTGGCATTACCACGGCTGGGAATGCTGTACGAGGTATATACTGACGCGTCCAAGCACGAACTCGGTTGCGTGTTGATGCAGGAGGGACACGTGATCGCTTACGCGTCGAGGCAGCTGAAGAAACATGAGGAGAACTACCTGGCACATGATATGGAGTTAGCGGCGGTAGTTCACGCGCTAAAAATCTGGAGATCGTATCTGTACGGAGAGAAAGTTAAGCTCAACACAGATCACAAGAGCTTGACTTATGTAATATCTCAGAAGGATCTGAATCTGAGACAGCGGATATGGTTAGAGCTGATTGCAGATTACGATCTGGAGATAGCCTACCATCCGGGGAAGGCTAACGTAGTGGCCGACGCTCTTAGCCGGAAGAAGATCTTAGCGGTCATACATGTTGTCACCTCATCTCGCAGCAACGCCGCTGAGTTAATTGCGATGTTGGGACATCTCTCATTGACGGCAGAGGAGTCGACACCGACTCTGATAGAACGCATGATCAGGGGACAGCGCGGTGATCCATTACTCGCTCGATACATGGATCGCATTGAGGAATATAGCCTGAAGGGCTACCGCATCGACGAGCATGGTGCGTTGCGACTTGGGAACCGACTATGTGTGCCCAATGATCTAGAGCTGAGATAGGGGATTTTGTCAGAGGCTCATCAGTCGAGGTTGACGATACATCCGGGGGCGAGCAAGATGTATCAGGGTCTACGACAGTGGTATACTTGGCCAAGGGTCAACAGGGATGTGGCGGACTACGTAGCGAGATGCCTCACCTGCCAACAGGTGAAAGTAGAGCGACAGATGCCTGGAGGGAAGCTACAACCACTGGAGATACCCGAATGGAAGTGGGATTCGATCGCCATGGACTTCGTGGTCGGATTACCGCTCACGCCCAGCAAGAAGAACGCCATTTGGGTAGTCATGGACCGACTAACCAAATCCGCTCATTTCATCTCCATCCGGCAGGAGTTTTCGATTGAGCGGTTGGCGCAGATTTACATCGATGAGATCGTGCGTCTACATGGGGTTCTGAACGAGATCATCTCAGACCGAGACGCCCGATTCACATCATGTCTATGGAAGGCGATACATGAAGCTCTGGGGACGAAGCTCAAGATGAGCACGACATACCATCCCCAAACAAACGACCAATCGGAGCGGACAATACAGACTCTGGAGGACATGCTCAGAGCTTGTATTATGGAGTGGGGAGCTCGGTACTTGACGTTGTGCGAGTTTGCGTACAACAACCGCCATCACACGAGCATCAGAATGTCTCCATACGAGGCCTTGTACGAGAGACCGTGCAAGGCTCCGTTGTGCTGGACAGAGATCGGAGAGCGTCGCGAGTTTGGACTAGAGATTGTAGAGGAGACTACGGGAGTGATACGGAGGATTCGCGCCCATCTGAAGACGGCGCAGGACGGACAGAAGTCATATGCCGATCACTGACGTCGAGACTTCGAGCTTGAGGTCGGGGATTAAGCCTTTCTCCGAGTGCAGGCGATGCGGGGCCATGCGAGGTTCGGGCAGAGCGGGAAGCTGAAGCCGCACTACGTCAGACCTTATCCCGTGATCGCGAGAGTGGGAGCT